GCCCCAGAAAGTCTTTCAGCCATATTCTGGGTGAAGTCTTAGATTTACACAGAATAGCAGCAAGTAAAAATCAACAGATCTTCTTTACGTTTTGAGGCAGCGTATGTCAAACTGAATGGAGCCAGGGTCCGCACAGTGGAGGATCATCATTGGAGCTGAAGAGAGCGTCTCCACACTTGACTGCACAGATTAAGAGAGTGACGGGGACCTATGACTGGCTAATTCAATAGGAGCACTCTCTGTAGAAAACACTTCATTCTCAACAATGTCNTTTATTTGTGAAATGATTTACAGACAGATTCTCATAATTTTTCTTTGTTCATCTTTGTAGAAAACCACACACACACAGATACACACTCATGTGAGCCCATCACACGTGCCTTTATATGTATGGCTGAACCTCATGAGCTAATTAAAAGGAAGTAAAGCTCAATTCTGGACTTGGACATTCCTTTCTTTCACTAACTCACCTGGACATATATATCAGCTGTTCTAACCCGACACCCTGGAGTGATTGTTTATCCATACCCAACATAACCGAATCAGCCTCAGTCTTCAATACAGTATTGCTGGTGTCTGACCTTAAATTGTTTTTTTGTACGACTAAAGTGATACACGTCCGTTAAGGTATTTGAAAGTGTATTTCCCATACAAAAATAAAGCGTTAAATGCAAATCTGACTTCTTCCCGTGCATATTGACTATGGGTATGCTGGTCTGATGGGGTATACCGGTCTGACAGGGTACTCCAGTAAAGAATTCGTGCAGAATTTGAAGCGAAAACCATTGGTGCTCTTTTTTTTTTTTACTTTATCTGTTATATTGTTTTATCTCAACTATAGAAGCAATTTACAACTTAGATCCATTTAACATGCATGCATTCTAAGTAAAACTCCATATGAGGGTAAACATCAACGACCGACCACTTTTTTAAATGTTCATGTGCATCAGTTTCATTTAAAACAGACAGAACTGTCTTTGTTCTGTAAAAGGAAAACACATGTTATAAATGTTTCACTTCACCAGCTCATGTTAAACAAGAGTAAGCAGTGTCTCTCTTTCATTTACCACCTGGCAGTTTTTGATCAGGCAGCACAGACACAACCTTCAGACATGAAGGCTGCTACCTCTCTGCAAAGATATCGGGATATTTGGCTCCTTTTGTGCTGCAGAAGCTGTCAGTAATCAGTTTTGGCTTCCTTCCTTCAAATGGCATCTAGCCTGAAGTATGAGGTATCCAGCTGCAATAAATAAACACAGATGCTGTGAGAAAACAGCAGATGACAAACATTTTCAATAAGAGATGTTCTTGGTAATTAAGTTCTTAGTGTTTTTCTTATTTTTGGGTGGGCATTTAAATTTTATTGAACCTTACCCACAAACATTATATAGAGCATTAGGAAATAAAACTTTCAATCTCATTCTTTCCAGATTGTGCTACTGAAACGGCATCTGAAATGTGTTAATGTAGGTTTTATGCATTTTTTCGTCTCAGATAGCCTTTAGCTGTGAGGAGATATTGGTCAAATTGGATTTTAAAAGAAATCTAACCTCTTTTCGTCTGCTATGACCCTACTGCCTCCTATTCTCCCTGCAAATGAAACTGAACCATCAAAACTTGCCTCCAGCGTTCATCCATCTGAAAATTCTTTGGAGCATCTTTTAAAATAAATTCATGACTTCTAGGAACTCTACTGATGATGGTGAGGATAGCCTACAGAATCATAACATTCTCCCTGGATTACTGTGGTTGAGTCCAAAATACAGAGAGCTGAAGAAGGACTGGATGTAAGAACAGATAGCTGACCTGAAAAATCTGGTGAAGTTTTGGTACAATGCATAATTCTAATTTAAAATATCTAAGAATGCAGGCCCATCGGATAACAATGTGTAAAATGTTAGAATATATTGGTAATTAATACAATCACTAGAGGCCATCTGTGTTTGTAAATCTCCCTTTTTCAAATGGGTAATGTAGTTAGTTTACTATAATATTTCATTAGTTTGGAGCCTACAAAGAGAGGGATCTTTGACCCATCCTCTTTCACAATCTCTTTAGATGACCCAGAAGCCTTGGTCCTTATGCTCTACATTACAGTATTCTGCAGCTTTTCTATAGGATTTAGGTTTTTGAACTGGGATTGCCATGGAAGGTTGATTTTGTCTGGTTAATCACTTCTGTGTTTTATAGACAGGTATTTTGCATTCTTTTCCTGTCTGAAAGTTATCCAATTTTAGTTTTCTGGTACAGAAAAAATCCTGGTTCATCAGAAGCCTATAAAGAACCACAGAGCCACATGATTTTTAAAGTCTATATTTTGAAGAACAGTAAGCCCACAGAATTACAGGTCCTCAGCATACTAACGATTGAGCATGTATTTTTTAACCCTAAACCCATGTGGAAAGTGTTTTGCTAAAAAGCTTAGTCTTAATCTTAAATGACTTTCGATAAGAGTCTCAGTGGAGTTTTTAAAAAATTAATTAAAGAGACCTAGTGATTGATACTAGTCCCTGTTTTGGTTCTTGAACATCAGCACTAGATATTTTATCTCCGGTGCTTTGGTCGTAAAGCTTCATTATTGTGCTACATTTGAAAATAAATAATATCGACAGTTAGAAAAGCACTATGAGAGTGCAGCCCTCCACCAAGCAGGACATTTTGTCTGATGATCTGGATCATCACCATAAGGTTATGTGTTGTTCCTTAACATGAGGGACACCTTATTTAAAAATGTTATTGAAAACCGTCCACAACTTTTCAGTTTATCCTTTACACAGACAGACAAACAGACAAATTCTCCTAAACACCAAACTTGCTTTGCTGAGGCAGCTGTAGCTACAATGTAGTTTTCTACCATTAGTGTGTGAATGAATTGGTGAATGACTGAATGTACTTGAAAGCGCTTTGGTCTCTATACTGTACAAGTACCATTTACACAATAGTCTGCGTTAGCTTCTTAGACAGTTATCTGCTGCAGCAGATAATTGCATTCCTCCTCAGCGGCCACCAAGGGCTGCTGAGGCCTATTAAGTCAGGTTAGTGGAGGTATGGAAACACCTAAATATGCAGGACAGTGGGTCCTGAGGAGGAAGTTTGAAAACCACTGTTATAGAGCAATTACATTATTTTGTACATTCAACAAACACATTAGGTTTATTGTATCAGTATCACTAATACCAGACTGCATTTTACTTATCATATATAAAGGAAATTGGTGGTATCAAACATATTTTTTAATATGATGAAAAGGACAGAATCTTTTTATTTTCATATAACACAGTTTAAATAAAGGAATTATAAAATGTATCAAATTATTTAGAATAGCTATTTTGCTGTCAGCGACTGAAATCTCACTCCAAGCTCAGATCAAAGGTAGAGAGCCCTATCTAGCTTAAAGAAAAGGAAACATATTACAGAAAGTACAATACAAATTCAAACAACATGACTTTTTTTTTCTATTTTCAAATGATTGCTAGGAGACCCAATATTTGGGCTATTGAGGATTTTTCTAAAAGTAGTCATTTTTTAACAGGGACATTTTTATGGTCCTGAATAAATGTGCTAAAATCAGAGGTTGGATTTCAAAAAAGTTCTGCCTTTTTTGTTATTAGGATGGATTTTTTATGGTGTAACTAAATGTGTCTGCAACTTTAAATCAATATATTTAGCCTTTAAAGTATTAACCAAGCTAATACTTGCTGACAGCATTTTAGCTATTACTGAACTGGATATTGCAAACAGACACAAGCATTTTATGGAACGCTTGGAGCTTGAACATGCAAATATCTCAGCACCGTCTATTAAACTGAAATCACTTTTCCATTTCTTTTCTCTGTGTTAATGTGTCTTTCTTCATTTTCTGCTTGACCAAGCCCAGTAATCATTGTATCTCATCACAACGTCGCCCTCTTTCCTTCTGCCGCAGCTCACCAACACAGCTGACCAAAATTAAACAAAGACTCATCACAATAAAGCCTGGCATAAACATCATGCTTTTTCTGCACAGACCATTATTGTGCCATCCTCCTTTACTGCAGAGATAAAAATCACCAGTAGTAGATTATGACAGCCATCACTTTGTATTGTGTCTCCTGCAGCTGGTATCTAGTTTTTAAAGGGACAGTGCTGAAACACATGAAAAAAGGCTGACATTATAGCCTCATGGTCAAGTTAATAGATTTACAAGTGATGTCAAAACAGACGTGTGTTACTGTAATTAAATAAAGACGGAATCTAATCCATTATTGTGCCCTGGTTCATGCAACTTTTACTTCATACATTTTTAAATTTAAACTGTCAGATGTAGATTCAGCTGTCTGTTCTAATACAGAAAGCTGTGAAAGCTGCCATGCTCTAGAAAAAGTACGAACAAAAATAAAAAAATGGATGCAGAATGAGCCCCAGAAAGTCTTTCAGCCATATTCTGGGTGAAGTCTTAGATTTACACAGAATAGCAGCAAGTAAAAATCAACAGATCTTCTTTACGTTTTGAGGCAGCGTATGTCAAACTGAATGGAGCCAGGGTCCGCACAGTGGAGGATCATCATTGGAGCTGAAGAGAGCGTCTCCACACTTGACTGCACAGATTAAGAGAGTGACGGGGACCTATGACTGGCTAATTCAATAGGAGCACTCTCTGTAGAAAACACTTCATTCTCAACAATGTCACCTGGCTCTCCTGTGTGATATATCCTGCCATGAAGTATTATACAGCCACAGTGTAACATCCCCCCCCCCTTCCCACTTTTTTTTTATATCAAGCTTTGAAGTAAGAGCAGTGTTTCAAAAGTCCAAGCAGTCATCAATTTATATGAGGAGTTCAAAACACACCTCTTCTCACTCATTAGGCTTAACTTTAACAACTTTGGCTATCAGTAAAAAGCTGTGTTTAAAACGAACGCCCCAGTTCTTACGGCACATCCACATCACAGACAGGCCGATGAATGATACATATATCTGAATTTCTGAGTGTCTCTTCATTTCTTTTTCCTTTTCAAAAGGGGATCACTGGGATAAGGTTTGCAGAACATCAGAGGTGCTACATCAGGACCCAAACTAAGGAACTACCCACGGTGACCGAGATGAAGGCTGAGGACAGAGAGATGCTGGTACAGTATGCGTTCACACTCTCCTATATGCCTCTTTTAAATTGCTGCAGTCCTGCAGGAGACTGTCATGCATATTGTCAGGAGATAACCAGAGCTGAGCTCAAATCCTCAGTCTGTCCATCTCATCCTATCTCGCCTTCCCTCTGACTGAGAAATAAACAGGAGTTTGTGGTGCCTGTGAAACTACCAGAAAGCAAACCACAAACCCTCTGCCTCTTTGTGGCCAACATCAAATGGGGCTTCGCTGTCAATCTTGAGCCAACATTAATTTTTAATCATCTCCTCCAAAGGCTCTACCCAAATAGCCTAAAGGGGGAAGGGTTGTTGAAGAGGTCTGAGCAAAAGGTAACCCATTAAAATGGTATTTTTAAGCAAAGTTTTTCTTTATAAAATTCACAAGGCTCCCCCTCACCAAGTTTAGGGTGATCTGGCTTCTTAAAGTTGAATGTGAACTTCAGAACAAGGAGTAGAAAAAAATTCAGTCAATCAAAATTCCCATTTTTCAGTGTCACACTGAAATTCAGCAAGTGGGCCACATGTTTAAAGAGAAAATCCTTTTCTCAAATGCCTCAGCTTCTAGCATACTCTCATTTACATTTCAGATTTCAGCTAAGAAGAAGTGGCTGGCAAATATCTGACGCTCCCCACTGCTTCATCTTAAAAAACAGAGTAAGCCAATTGTCACTCCAGCTTTAGTTTTTAACTTTAAGAACACAAGCTGTTACACCAAAAAGCACTGTTTTTGTTCCTTTCATCTTCATATTGTCTGATCCACGTTTACAGATACTAATTGCCCAGGCAGCGCCATATGTCCTTGCCATCTCTGTCTTCCTTTGTGTACTGGAAAGCCTAATTGGCTCAATTCGTAGCTCTAGAGTGAAGCATGAAAGCACTGAAAAGTGACTTGGGCTCATATCAGTATTAATGGACACCCTCATATTTAATGAAAAATAATGATTCAAAGGGCTATTTAAGTTGCGTTTTACTTTAATTTGCTCTCACTAGTGCAACCTTACCTTTAAAAGGAAAAGTTTGCTGGCACCCCGCCCAATTATATTGCAAAGGCTTGCCTTAAATCTTACCCATCAAAAGTTCTTTTGACTAACTTATATTTTTATTCAATTTAAAAAAATCATATTTCTATTTCAGTATTTATTATTTTGAACACTGGGGATTCAGATTAATCAGAGACACCAAATGTATTAATCCTAATAAACATAAATCATCTTTTTTTTAACACATTAGGTGAATCCCATAGACAGTGATCTCTAAACCCAGTACAACACCTCCGGATCAAATTAGGTGAAAATCTTGGTGAGGAGGTAATCCAGCCATTTGATTAGCTTAAGTTGGAGCAGAAATAGATCTATACCTGAAGGGAAAGT